GTCGTGAAGCACTCATTAATCATGTTCAAACCCATGCCTTGAGCCATGGATATGCTGTGAGCATCAAACGATCTGAGCAAGAAAAATTTGTCTATTTGCAGTGTGATAGAGGCGGTCATTACATTAATCGATTGAATCTCACTGATGAAACTCGCCAAAGAGCCACAAGCACAAGGCTAATAGATTGTCCTTTTGAGCTATATAGCAAGAAGATGAAAGATGGTCAATGGCGTTTAACAATAAAAAACGAAAGGCATAATCACGAAGTATCACAAGACATTTCAGGCCATCCATCAAGTCACCAATTAAATGAAAAAGACCAGCAAAGAGTTAGAGAAATGTCTACGGCAGGTGTTTGCCCTTGTGAAATACTTTCTACTCTTCACCAAGATGACCCGGGTAAATTGGCAATCTTAAAAACTATCTATAATGCTAGGAATAAAATTCACCGTGATAATCTTCAGGGTCGTACACCAATTCAGGCTCTTCTTGATGAGCTTGTAGAAGGAAACTTTGAATATGACTATCAATATAATCAAAATGACAATTTAACCCATTTCTTTTTTGCACATTCTAAATCAATCACACTTACCAAAATATATAACTCTGTTCTTTTAATGAATTGTACATATAAGACCAACAAGTTTAAGATGCCATTGCTTCACATTGTTGGCATAACAAGTTTTAACACCACATTCTCCTCCTGCTTTGCGTTCTTAAAATCAGAACAAGAAGACAACTATGTGTGGGCCCTTAATCGTGTTGCTCACATTTTTAGGAACGTTCCAAAGCCTAAAGTTATTGTAACAGATCGTGAATTAGCCTTAATGCATGCTGTACACACTGTGTTTCCTGAATCTCAAAATGTTTTATGCGTTTGGCACATTGAAAAAAATGTGCTGACTTGCTGTAAGCGCCACTTTCAAATAAATGATGAATGGATTGAATTCATGGAATGCTGGTCTAACCTCATAAAGTCTCAAACTGAGGCTGATTTTGATAGTAACTGGGAAGGGCTGGTGAAAAAATACAATAACCAAACTTCAATCATTACATATTTGCAGGATACATGGTTGCTATTTAAAGATCGCTTTGTGAGTCTTTGGATAGACCATTATTTGCACCTGGGCAATGTAGTAACATTACGGGTAGAAGGAGCCCACACGGCGTTAAAAAGGTATCTTCAAGTGTCAGTTGGAGATCTTCATATTGTTCATGAAAGAATTTCTTTAGCATTAGAAAATCAATATAAAGAAATTCAAATAATGATCTCCCAGGAAATGATTAAAATTCATCACACACAAAACATACCATTCTATGCGGAAGTTGTCACCAAGGTATCTACTTTCGCATTGAAAAAGGTTCATGAACAATTTTTAAAGACATCTAATGCAACACTGGAAAATCTACTACAACCTTGTAGTGGTACTTTTAAGTTGTCAATGGGCCTTCCTTGCGCTCATGCAATTAAAGAACTTCTTGAAAGAAATCAATGTTTACAACTTACCAACTTCCATCAACATTGGAGAATCTAAGAACATCAATTAGATTAGCAAAGACCATCTGAAATCGAAGATGTTTTACAACAGAAGTGGG